ACAAATATTGTAATCTTAAGTGCCAAAAAATATAAATAAGCCATATGTACTTCGCTATTTGCTAACAGTTTCTTCCAGCCATGTATTCTCAACAGCATTCTGTGTTATAGGGTAACTCTTAATATTGTTTAGGATTTCTTTCACTTGATATGTGGATGGAACAGTCTCAATCAAGGACATTTGCAGTAACTGTTTTCTCCCTCAGTCACTCTCCTTTCCCACCTATTACTGCAGACACCTGAATAGGGGTAGCATCTTAAACTCCCACATTTTAGCTTCTCCTGCCTGATCTCACCAACTGTTGCCATGGAAATAATTGTAGCATTGCAATTTTAGTACTACAACCAGAGTACACGACAGTGAAATCAGATTGGCAAACACAAATGAGGATGAGTCTCTCTCTTCCAACAAGTGTCTATTATGCTTTGGGATATTTCTCCCCTACCCTTTCTCTGTGTTTACTCAGATGTCTAATTATATAGTTCAGTCTTTCTCTAATGACTTAGTGCAAGATTTTTCAAGGTCACCAGAAACTAAAAGCATAAATAGGAGCAAATTCATGCACAACTTATTTACATGGATTTCATAACAGCTAAGGAAAATTTTCCAAATAGTTTCCTGTAACTAAAAACTTAAGGTATATCAATATTTTTTTAAAATCTATCAACAGTTCTCAGTCTTTACAAGCAATTATTCTAAAACTTTCTTAAATCAGTTAAAAATAAGAGCAATCTTGTCAACCAAATAATGGTCATATTAGGTCATCAAATGACTTTTTAAGTTGGAGATTGTCTGGCTTTCAAACAGGATTAACCCAGATCCAGGGTCCTAGAACCCTGGCAGTTGCAGGTAGTGGCTGTGTATTTGACATTTAAAAAATCTTGAATAAGAAACTTTAGGGAGGACGGTGGGTAAAATAATTATTAACTCTTTGCCTTCATTTTCCTACAAATAAGTAAATCCTTGATAGTGGTCACTATCCATATATTTGTTCTTATCTACCAAATTAAAAATGTATTCCTTTAGCCCTCTGGGGTGATAAAGGAAAATCTACTTTTTCATTGTTAATGTTATTTTAAAAAAGGAACACCACAGAGTGGTACAATGTATCTGAACTGATCCTATTTGAGACCTAGCTTGTAAGATGGCCTCCACAATCTATCTAATAATAGGGTAATATGCAAATTGGTTGGGACACCATCACAGTAATGACTGATCAGCAGGCTGCATGAGCAGCAGGCTCGGGTGGGTGGGGCCTTGCAGTGGGAACAGGGGTGGGGCCGCAGCGGAGGCCTCCCTGTCTGTGCGCCTGTGCCGGGGGTTAGGCAGGCATGCACAGAGGGAGGCCTCCGCTGCGGTCCCACCCCTGAGGGTCCACAGGCCTCCACCACAGCCCGGCCTGGGGTCCGCAGGTCTCACCCGGCTCTGGCCTACCTCTTTGGGGCGATGGATCGCAGGGCTCCCCCCCTGTGACAGGGCATAGGCCAGGGTGGGGGGCCCCCCCCCCCGCCGAGTGCATGAATTTTGTGTACTGGGCTACTAGTTATAAAATAATTGGGAAGTCTAGAGACAGAGGTGGTTCTAGGTAAAATTAAGTAACCACGTTGCTTTGGGAAGCACTTTGACCTTTCCTCCTCTTCTAACATTTTTCTAAATTATTTCCCTTCAAAAGAAACAAATAACCTCTCCAGCCCTCACACTCATTAGGTTTTCTGACTTTAACTGCTCATCTGAGCCACTAAGTCATATCTTTCTTAATTCTCTTTTTTTAAATATATTTTATTGATTTTTTTACAGAGAGGAAGGAAGAAGGATAGAGAGATAGAAACATCAATGAGAGAGAAACATTGATCAGCTGCCTCCTTCACACCTCCTACTGGGGATGTGTCCACAACCAAGGTACATGCCCTTGACCGGAATCGAACCTGGGACCCTTCAGTCCGCAGGCTGACGCTCTATCCACTGAGCCAAACCGGTTAGGGCTCTTTCTTAATTCTTAATCTTTTTCTTCTCCTGCCGAATTTACCTTTCCCTTTACCACAGGCCTTATGAAATGACAGGCCAATGAGTAGTCCTTTGACATTATAAACCAGGATGTCACTACTATTTAAGCCCATAGTGACCTCCATCTCATGTAGAGTAATAGCCCAAATCCTCACAGGCTCTACACACTATAGCCCCCAATACCTGTCTAACCTCATTGCCTACTATGCCTAGCCCAGGGCCTCGGTACCGTTCCTTTGACTCTTTCCCCAGATGGCAAAATTGCCAGCTCTCTCACTTCTTCCATGTCTCAATGCTACTTTCTCACTGTGACATTAGCTCATCAAAAAGTAGAATGTCCTGCCCTGCTGGTGTGGCTCAGTGGTTGAGCATCAACTCATGCACCAAGAGGTCACAGGTTCAGTTCCTACTCAAGGCACACACCCAGGTTGTGGGCTTGATTCCCAGTAGGGGGTGTGAAGGAGGCAGCCGATCGATATTGGTGCTTCTCTCTCATTGATGTTTCTTTTTGAACCAAACTGACTAGGCCTTTAAATATTTATTGTTGTTGGTTTTTTTTAATTGACTTCAGAGAGAGAGGAAGAAAGTGGGAGAGAGAGATAGAAACATGAATGTGGGTTGACGCTCAACCACTGAGCCACATCAGCCAGACTCTCATCCGTGTTTCTGTCTTTCCCTCTCCCTTCCTCTCTCTCTAAAATCAATA